TCAGGAAGATGGGCAAGTTGGGGCCCCAATATATTGGGTCGTTTCGGGTGGTAGCCAGGGTTGGCAAGGTAGCATACATATTGGATTTGCCGGAGGAGCTCAACTAGATCCACAACACTTTCCATGTTTTGCATATTTGGAAGTGTGTGGCGGATGATTCGGCAGTTGTTCCCTTAGGAGATATTCAGGTTGATGATCACTAGAATTATGTGGAGAGACCAGTGGCAATCCTTGACCGGAAGACGAAGACTTTGTGGAACAAGGTGGTATCATTAGTCAAAGTTCAGTGGCAACATCGGAAGGGTTCCAAATGCACTTGGGAACCCGAGTCTGAGATGCGTGAGCATTTTCTAGAGTTATTCGTACCAACAGACTTCGACGATGAAGTTTAGATCAAGTGGGGGAGAATTGTAACATTCCGACGATGAAGTATTTTCAATTTTAACCCTAAGTATGTAGGGTTATTGCATTTTAGCCCTTGTGCATGAGAAAGCTTGCAAAATGGACCATAGTGGCATTTTGTAATTATTAAGGCGGGCTCACATATGCTGGCCGTACCTAGAGTACACGGGGCGTACGTGTCTGAGCCACAGACCCTAATTTTTAGGGGTTGGGCCCTATTTAACCAACTTTATGGCCTCCAAACCTCATCTCTCATCAGTCTCCAACACCTCCATACAATCTTAGCAAACCCTAGCTACTTTTTTGAGAATTCTTGACCCTTGTGTGTGTTTTTGGTGGTCTTAAAGGAGAAAGAAGGAAGTATAACCACCTTGGAAGCTTGAAGGAGCTTTGGATCTGGGATATTCACCTCTCTAGAAACCTCCAACAGGTATAAAGATTTAAACTTGGCTTGTAATTCCTTAGATCTTGCTAAGTTCTTGACTCTTGAGCATTTTGGTCCCAAGTCTTGACCTTTTTGAGTATGGCATGCTCTAGCCCATTTAAACTGCCCTTTCAGACGTTTTGAGAAGTTTAGAAGCATAAAAATAGGGTCTTGGCTCTTAATTCTTCCCCATGTATGTGCTTGGTGGTCTTAATGGGTTAAGAGTTTGGGGTTTCTAGCATTTAGCACTTTTTGGCAATGCAAGACCATAAAGTTGGAAACTTTATGGTCAAGAACAATATTTGGGACTTAGATCTGCAATTTGGACGTAAAAGATTAAGTATTAAGCACTTATTGTGTTAATAAGAAGTTATGTTGCGTACGTTGGGCGTACCAATTAGTACGTTACGCGTACGCGGTCAAGCCCCGTTCCTGGTCAACTATCGAGTACGCCCAACGTACTCGGTTGGGCTTACTCGGCTGGGTTGACTCAGCTGAGTTGTCGACTTTGACCTTTGACCAATGTTAACCTAAGAGTGGTTTGGATATTTTGGGCGTTGGGATTTTTATCTAAGCTTAAGTCTCGGTTCCGTTTAGGTGATTGGTAGTGCTGACTTTCAGAGTTGCGTTCTGTTTAACATTCACTTCGGACTAAGAGGTGAGTTTTCCTCATTGTACTTGCAGGTCGAAGGCACCAAGGCTGGCCTAATGGATTGATATCCTGTTAGATATTGAGCTATGATATGTCGAGTATGTGATAGAACTGTTTGATTATCAGATAGTTACTGATATGTGCTAGACCGGTAGATCTGTAGGACTACATGTGATTACTGACTGTATAATTATCTGTTTGCTGAATATGTATATTATTTGTTATATGTCGACATGTTACGTTGGGGTTGAGACTACTACTTAGTGCTGTCAGTCAACAGACCGGGGCAATCTAACCGGGAGGTTGTGGGCCAGGGCATTCCAACCGGAAGGTTGTGGGCCAATGGTAATCCAATCGGGAGGTTGTGAACCCAGTATGTGGTATGCAGGGCAATCCAACCGGGAGGTTGTGGGCCAGGGTAATCCAACCGGAAAGTTGTGGAGCCAACATGATAAATTATGTATTTTTATATGTGGTATGATGGTACTTTGAGGGAACTCATTAAACTTTTCAGTTACTTCGGATGATTGCGGGAAAGCGAAGGCGTGATCGTGCACTAGGGATGAGATTTAGAACCGGAATATCGGACCGGAACCGGAATCGGAACCGTTTGAACCAGAATATATAGAACCGGTTCCGGTTCCGGGTTAAAAAATTAGCTTTATCCGGGTTCCGGGTAATCCGGGTTTGGGTCCATCGGGTCCGGGTAAACCGGGTCTAAAAACCGGAACCGGTGTTTGGAACCGGAACCACTTAGGACCGGAGCCGGTTTTTGTGAAACGTTTAAAAGATGCATATCTCACTCGTTTCAACTCCGATTGACATGCGGTTTTTTCCAACATGTAGTTTAGAGTTTGTACATGACATTAGACTATAAGTTTACCATTTTTAGTTTTATATTCATTGACTTACAGTCCTCCAAAGTCGAGATATCAAAGCTGGAAGTTTTTAGTTTTTCAGTTATTTTGTATTCGGTGAAAGTTTTAAAACATGCATATCTAATTCGTTTGAAGTCGGATTGACATGTGGTTTTTTCCAACTTGTAGTTTACAGTTTGTACATGAGTTTAGACCATAATTTTGTCATTTTTGGTTTAACATTCAATGATTTACAGTCCTTCGAAGTCGGGATATCAAAACTGAAAATTTTCAAATTTTCAGCTATTTGTTTTTGTACTTTGTATTATGTGAAAATGTTAACACATGCATATCTCATTCGTTTAAAGTCGGATTGACATGCGGTTTTTTCCAGAGTGTATTTTAGAGTTTGTACATGTATTTAGACTATAATTTTGTTAATTTTGGTTTCACATTCAATGAGTTACAGTCCCCCAAAGTCGGGATATCAATATGAAAATTTTCAAAGTTCAACCCACTAAGTAGTAAATAATTACCAAAAAATTACGGGTTTTCCGGTTCTAAACCCACTTTATCGGTTCCAACCTACCCACTTTGATGTTCCGGGTTTTTCGGTTCTAGACCCACTTTACCCGGAACCGAACCGGAACCGGTTCCTATATACCGGTCCGGTTCTACAAAATCTCGTTAACCGGTTCTGGGTTTTCCGGGTCTGGGTCCATCCGGTCCGGGTTTGGACCCACTCATCCCTATCGTGCACATCTTCCTGTTTTGTGTTATTGTGTCTTGGGAAAACTCTGATTTTGAATAATACTTTTGAAACAATGACTCTTTCTGTAAACAATGATGGTTAATGGTTGATTTTAAAATTTTAAAATTTCTATGATATTTGGAGTGTTACATACTCATGTTAGAACAATATATTGTGAAATACAAACTAAAATATATCAAATACACTAACAAACTCCTATTTATACATACATAAAATCATTTCGTTCATTAATACATTGATTACCCAAAGTAAAGGGTTTGTGGTCTAGTGGTATCATGAGTTGTTGGAGTGATGCCCTGAGCCGAAGTTTGAGGGTTCAACTACCCATTTGGGACAAAAGATGTAGATTTATAAATAGACTATGATATGTGTGAGTTAGTCCTTCTAAAAGATTAACACATAAACCAATCTTCCAGAAATAGGATTATGACATCGTCTTGGGGTTTGCCTGGCCCTTCTTTTCGATAAGTTTTGTATCGTAAGTATCGGTGTCCAAATTCGTATTAGCTTGAGGTTTTTGTCTATTTTTCTCCATTCCAACACTTGTAATCAACTTAAAAATCTATTACAACGTATTAGAAATATTGTTTAACTACCTTCATAGTCATGAAACAACCTTGAATTCCCTAATCACCATTGAAATCTAGGTTTCTTTCATTTCTCGACTAACCATACAATTATGGAAGAGAATAACACCTTGTGAGATCAAAAAAGGATTTTGGCAATCCTTAGGTGATGCAAAAATCCGAAAATGAAGGTCTACCTTTCTTGATTCTACCCAAAGCTCACATCTTTACCAGAAAATCTCTTATTCTTCTCCCAAGGCTTCAATGACCAACTAAAATCCTAAGGAGGGTCTATCACATCTATTTATAGTCATCTATTTTGTATCCAAGCTCCATTATTTGATTTAGAGGAAATAACTTCCACCAACTTTAATTAATCATATTTAAGTCACCCAAATAATTGACAATTCCACCACTTAACAATTTTCCAACTTATCGTAATAACTAAGATTCAAGTACTAAAATAGTATTGTCCTTTAAATTCCAACATACCATGATTTTCATCTTTGAAAATCTCCATTTGCATTTGGCATCTTCGCTTGATCACCTACACCCATATCATAAATTAGATAAGCATTTAAATAATAATGGTAAATTCATAATTAAGGTCAATACATCTAACCCTCATTTTCGGATGTTAAACTTTAACCAACTATATATTATCTTAAATATCTTAAACACTCAACAGATTCTGATTAAGGCACTATACTTTCAATCTCATCATAACACTATACCATTTCACAATGTTTTTGCTCAATAATGACATTATAGTCTTATAATTTAGTCATAACATGAGAACAAACAAGATAATAGGTTCACAAGAATGTTGGTTTAGTTTTTGAAATTTGTCTAGTAGTAACACTCCATAGTAAACTACTAATTGTCTTTAATACATTATGGGACTTCATCATGCTTTATCAAATTATTATGATTCCATATAGGTTAAGAGCAAGGGTGGTACATTAACCAAAATATATAATATGGATATCCAACTTCTCAACCCAATACGATCCACATTCCCCCCCCCCCCCCCCCCCCCCTAAGTTAACCTTTTTTCGGTTTAATGGCTTTGTTTACACCTTAGTATATTCAATAGATGAGATATAAATAGAATTAAAATACACACATCTATATAAGAATGCACATAAAGATATACATAGTAAAATTGGTATCTTAGAATGAAACGGTATGCATCACAATCTTTTAGTTCACATAAACAACATCTCTTGAAGATGAACTATATTTATACATTCTATTCATCAAATAGTACCAAAAGAGAACAAAAACCAATTAATGTTTCTTAAAATAGAACCTCTTATTTCATTATGTGGTAAAGTGTTCTCAATAGACATAGACTCACATTCATGTCATTATGTGCCTTAATGATTATTTAGCTTAACTATTAATCTTGATATAACAAATAGTTTGTATTTTTTTATTGGTTTTCAAGAAACTGGAATCGTCTCCTTGTGCTATTGTTGATTTTTAACTGCATTACAAGATCTTCTCTTTCGGCTTCAACTTCAGCATACTTGAGGCTCATCTCAAGGTAACGGTCACGAAGGTCTTTTAGCTCTGTTTCTAATGACGATTTTGTCCTTTCAAATCTCTCTTTTGTTACCAAATCACCTTCAGCCTTAGATTTTCCAGGATTTGATGAAAGACTATTACGCCCCTCGGATTTTAGCCTAGAAAAATATATGCAAACTAGTTAAAAGCTACAACCATGAAAACTACTTGTGCATACGCGTAATCCTTATTGTTTTCATCAATAAGTTGACCTTTGACTACTAAAAGTCAAAGGTTGACTAGTGTTTTCATCATACTCACCTCTTGAGTTGAGCTCTATACTTGTTATTTGCATCAAGAGCCTCATCAAGCTGTGCTTCAAGCATCTCTATTTTTTCTGCATTATCAATATCCTCTTGAGAATGTGTCTCATGAACACCCTGATACAGAAGACATAAAAGATAACAAGAGTAAAGATTCACGGTAAAAAAAAAAAAAAAAAAAAAATACAAGAACACTTGGTTGTTAAGTGAATCAAAATCAATTTTTTTTAATTATTTACCGATTTACTCCCTGATTTTGTTGACAAAAGTCTTAGATCTTCTTCTAAAGCATGAACTTTCTTCAAGCATTCATTCTTTTCGCCTTCAATTTGTTGAACTTTCAACTGATATTGCAAATTTGCACTCTTGATTCTACTAAGCTCATTTTTCATCTCAGAATCTAAAGAACGTGATGCTCCTTTAGACATTAGATCTCCCTCCAGTTGCATTATCTTTTCTTCTAGAACATTCTTCTCATGTTTACATTCCTCATACTCTTTTACAGATGCCTCTAAGGTAGATATCTTTTCAAGAAACGAAATCTTTTCTTCTTTAACCTCTTCAAAACTACTAGAAAGTGAACGAAAAGAAGCTTCTAGATTGTTCTTTTCATACTTTAGTTTATCAAGCTTTCGTTTATGATCCATTACTTCATTGTCAAGATTCGAGGTTTTCTGCAACTTATCTTTTAACTTTGAAGCTTCTTCAATGAGTTGTTGGCGTTCATATTCTGAAACTGTAAGCTTAAGTTCTAGATCATTTTCCATTGTCTTTCTTCTCTCTTCTCTTATTCTGTAACCAAACAACACCTTTGATTTCTTTTCATGATCTGTCATCAGTTTTTTATTGCTTTCTTTAATGGCAATAAGCTCAGTTTCCAAGTCTTGAATCTTGGATTCAGATTCTTTATGAAGAGTTTGAAGTTGGTTTTCAATCGATTCATTTCTTGAACGAATTTCTTTCAAAGAAGATTCTAGCTTTGACTTTTCGGAAACCACCTTTGACTTTTGTTCATGAAGCTGTGAAATTTCATTTTGTAAATGTTGTACCTCTTTTTGGAAGTTTTCAATCTCGGAAGTCTTCTCTAAATACATTTGATTCAACAAACTTTCTTCCATTGTAACTTTCTCTTTTAACTTCCAGTTTTCTTGATTAAGTTCATCCAAATGTGAAGAAAGACTCTTCTCTTTAAACATATACTCTTCCAACATAGAAGAATGTTTTTCCTCTAAACTAGCCAACCTTTCAGAAGAAATTACCAAATTGCCCCTAGCTTCCATTAATTCGACCTCCAAACGAGAACATTTTTCACTCAACTCTCCCTTTTCCTTTCTCATCTCTTCATACAACTTCTCAAGATTACTACATTCCTCAACGAGCCCCTCGGAAGATTCTAGAAGTTTCTTCTTTTCGGATTTCAAATTTCCACATTCTTCTTGAGCTTCCAATAGTAGTTTTTCAATATCATATAACTTTTCAACCTCATTTTGAAGATCAAATTTCATAGATTGAGATTCTTGTAACTCATCTTTCATACGTCTCAGTTGACTTTCTAGTGAAGTCAAACTTTCTGATAACCGGATATTCTCTTCTTCCACTTCAAACAACCGAAGCTCGGCTTCATGTTTGACTTTTTCCAAGTCAAACGCTTTCTGTTCAAGTAACTTATTAGCAGAAACTTGCGAATCAACACTACTACTAAGCACCATGAGATCATTTCTCAAATTATCCAAACATTTAGATGTTATATTGCTCTCTTCCAATGCATCTTCCATGTTTTCTTGTAACTCTTCTTTCTCCTTTTCAAGATCAGAAATTTGATCCTCTTGTTCTTCATTCAACCTCTCTAGTTCCCGGATTTTCAAATTGTAATCTTTTATCACCTTTTGATCTTCTTCAATAACCATATTTCTCTCTTGGATCTTTTTCTTCAATTCTTTAATCTCACAAAGAAGCTCCAAGTTTTCATTGGTCAATTCGCTGCATTCTTTTTCCACCTCACTAACTTTTTGTTGAAGCTCTTGGATTTCACGCATTTGTTGTGATTCAGATTGTGTTTTTTCAGATAGTTTTGACTCCAAGTTGTTGATTTCTTCTTCTTTGATGGATAAGTTAGTTTTGTAGTCTTTTTCAAGAAGTGATAGAGCGTGGCTATTTGAAATTCGTTCATTTTCTAAATCACTGATTTTGTTCTCTAAAGCTTGTTCAAGAATCTGCATGTTTGCTTGTAATGTTTTCTCTGATTCCTCCATTTGTTGCAAGTTAAGTTGTAAGCTTCTGATTTCCACCAAATTGAAATTGAAAGACTTTTCTAAATCATTAAACTTTGATTTGACTTCCAAAAGTTCTTCGATTTCTGCTCTTTGTGTTTCTGTGGTTTCCTCTAGTTCTTGAAGAATACACACAAGCTCAATATTCGATTCTTGATTTCTCTTCAGTTGTAGAGACAAATCAGTGTTTGATTCTTTATGAGCTTTTAGCTCGATTTCAAGTTCTTTTAGAAGTTGTGATCCACTTTCTGACTTATATGTTGACTCCACTTTGACCTTCTGTTTGACCTCCACCAATCTTTTAAGTTGGTCAACTTCTTTCTTCATGCCATCACGTTCCATGCGTGCTGCTGAAAGCTCCATTTTAGAATCTGTAAGATTCTTGGATTGATCAGAGAATCTTTCTTTGAAGATCTCCAAATCAAGCATCAACTTCTGTGAATTCCTCTCCCACATTTTGGCTTCTTCACGAAGCTCTTCAATTGTGTCTTCAGCTGCTTCTAGAAGGTTCTTTGAAGAACCAGTGTTTGGCATTGATGATGTGGGAAGGACAGGTGGCGGGCTTTCTTCATACTCTTCTTCTTGATCATCATGAGTTATTCTTGATTTGAAAGATGAGTTGTTTGATTTTGATATAGAAAGATCTTCTTCATTAGGGTAATTGCTTCGAGGTGAACTGTTTCTTGAATTCCCATTAAGCTTGTTCTTGATTCCATTTATATGATTGTTTCGATAGAATCTCTCTTTTTCTAAAGAATATTCAGCCGAATCATTGTTTTGATTCGATCCAGATGGTTCATAACTTGTTTCCTGCATCAAAGTCAAAATTTTATTTCAGGTTCATATTGATATGAATCAATTTGAAAATCAAGAACCAAAGGTGTCAAATTCCTATGATTTGTTTCATTTTATGTAACTATCTAATGCTTTCTTGATCAATTGAAGCAAGCATATCGATTTAGAAGTTGAAAATCAGTCAGTTTGACCAAGAAAGTCAAAGTTTGGAGAATCTATATCATTGTAAACATACCATGATTTTAATCTTTCCAAGAAGTGAAGTGGGATTCAAGTCTTGATTTTGAGAGGATTTAGCACTCAAGTCAACTGAAGCAGCTGACCCATTCGATCTGCTTAATGCATCATCATAACTTTCATCCATGGCTTCTACTTTTAAACCTTCAACCCTTCAATATGTAATGACAACTTTCAACATCAAGTGAAACATGAAAATATCACAAATATCTATATATATATATATATATATATATATATATATATATATATATATATCATAAACATTACCTGAGCTTTGTTCTTGGTGTTAGGCACTGGATTTTGACCTGAAAAATGAGAAAATAAGTCGATAAGAAACATCAAACATAGCATTAAAGAACTCAACATATAATACAAATTATTGTAATTATATTCACATTGATTTTACCTGTAAAACTGTGCCATGGTTGCATTTCTTTAAAGGTAATGAAAGTGGGGCAGATGATCTTGAACTTGTATAGTAGCGTGCAATATTTACAGTTGCCTCTCCAAGAATGCCAGATCTAGCAGAACCCTAGAACAAAACCAAAAAAAGACAGGATTTTGTCAAGGTTAAATGATAAATTTTTAAAGTTAGAGGATCAAGATCTTTCATACCATGGAAACAACGAATTTAAAGAGATGTTCTTCAAGCTCTTTTGAAGAATCATCATGTGAAATCCAGATAGATTCGGATAGAGTTTCTGTCCATTGACAGTTTCCATTTCTCACCAAAGCTTTGTTTGATCTTGCAACTGTTTTTCCTGTTTCCACAGAGATTATGGACACTAGAAGCTTGTCCCATACTTTTGGTACCTAAAAACAATAAAATCTTGTAATTAATCACCATGGATATGATATGAATCATGAATGCATTAGAAGATACAAGAAAGCATCAAGGATTCTCCACCTAATCCTTCTTAGTAATTTTATCAAACACTTGAAATGCATCACATGGTGCTTAACTCATACATGAAAAACTACACAGAAACAGCCAACTTTACCAAAAAGTATATGATGGATCAAACAAAACAAAGCAAAAAGCAACAAATATCGCCACAAATTCATTAATCTTCCAAATAGAAAACAATTACGATAATGGAAGTTCACAAAGATGATTGATGGGTTATCGTTGCTACCTGAAGAGCTTGAAAATTTGAAAACCTGAAATCAATCCTCTCCCCTGAGCTGGGCGACTTCCCATTTCTTTGTGGTCTATACATATTTATGTAGCGGTGAATGTGATCTCTACTAATTAATGGCTGTTCTACAAAATTGTGTAAGCTACTACTTTCATCATGAACAAACCCATTCTCAGCTTTTGAGAAACAGATTTGCAATATATGAAATTTGGTTATTTTCTCCTTTTTTTTTTTTTTTTTTGTCGTCGTCAATAAAATGATTGATCACAATGCAGTGACATTAACAATGCAAATCCAGAGAGATAGAGAGAGAAAGAGATGTTAGCTAGGTGGTCATTGTTTTCATGATTGTTAAGATCCTTTCATCTACTTCTTGACTCCATTCTCTACACATAGAGTCCTTTTCTTTCCCATTGCATACGTGTTAAATTTTGATTGTTTCAAGAAAGATCCGTAAAACGGCGCCAGTTCTCTAGCTTTTTATTTTTTTACTTTTTTTTACATAAAAGTGTAATTTATAGTTTTGGTCCCCATGGTCAACACGAATTTACAAGTTTAGTCCTATTTTTGAAAATTTGACACCATTAATCCTTATGGTTGGCAAATCCCTTTGTTTTGGTTTCATATCTCAATTAATGTCAGCCCACCTTCATTAATATCCTATGAAATGACCATTTTACCGTCGAACCAAATCAGTAAAAAACTTTCAACCATAAGATCCTAATATATTTATATAAATAAACAACAAAACAGATAAAATCCCTCATTGAGATCAATTGACTCCCACATTATACTCTTTCCCATACACGGCTCCCTTCAACCATTGGGATCTCTCTCACTTTCTCTACAGTAGGGTTGAGCATTTGGACATCTGGATTGGATGGGACCCGGATCAGTTTTTTAGAGTAGGTCCGGTTCTTAGTTCTTTGAATCATGCAAAATCGGTCCGTGTACAAAAACCGGGTCGGTCGGGTCAAAGTCCACGTTCAGTCCAACGTGTATTCGTTCTAAAGTATTAGATAAACCAACTTCGGTAGGGCTTCAATGAATTGTACCATAAATACCTAAAGTTGTATCGGTCCAACGGGTACACGAACCAGAAAACCCAAACCTAGACCTAGATCCGGTAAGCCTCAACAGGTCCAGTCCATGGTCCACCAATTTTTTCCAAACCGGCCTAGTCCAAATGCTTTACCCAACTCCACAGTAGCAACTTTTACCGCGCTCCAGCTCACGTCCACCCTTTCTCAGTCTCCTTTCTACCACCGCTACTCTCATCTTCCACCAAATCTCTCTCTACTCTAAGTTGTTGCCGCTTCACCAATCCGAAGAACCGACGTTGCCATCTCCATCTTCGGCGCCGCAACTACGTCGCCCACCTTCTTGCTTGCAACATCTCTTTTATGGTTGGTGTTCGATGATGCTCTTAACTCTATCTTCGGTCGACACAACCAACACTCCTCTCCTCTTCCGCCACTGATCTCTCTTTCCCTTCCCCCTCCTTTGTCTCACTCTCATCAACACAAAACTGCCATCGATCCGGTTTATGTTCATTTTAGGTGGTTATATACAATTATGGTCCATTTCTGGTTTTGGTCCATTTCACTCTCTAGTATACACTAATTTTAAGTTGTAGGTGTTTGTTAGTTGGGAAAAGCAATGGTGATTATGGTGAAAAACGATGGTGTGGTGGTGAAAAATGATGGTGGTGGTATTGAAAAATGGTGTTGGTTTTATTGCTATAATCATAATAAACAAGAAAATTTAAACCAAATAAAAGCAAAAACAAGGATATTTTAGTCATTTCATACAATTTTAATGGAAAGGCATTGATGGAAACGAGAATAGGTACAAAAGCCGATGGATTTGCCAACAATAAAGACCACAAGCTTAAAATTTAAAAACTAGGATTAAGCTTGAAGATTCGTGTCAACCACATGGACCAAAAGTGTAACTTACTCTATATGAAATTGTATTTTACCTTTTTAATTAGTTATATTTGTCGAAGAAATACTTAATTAATAAATCCAAAGCGAGGCATTGGAATGTTTGATGGATTTAATCCTTGTTGTTATCCTTGAACGACAAAATAGTTAAATAAAATATTTATTTCTTCATTCTTGGGTTGTGCATGGACGGTATTAACTATAAAATTGATTTAAGAGATTTTTTTTTATGTCTTTTTGGTTTAAAATAAAGAAAAATCTTAACAAAAATGTTATTGTGTTATCAAATTTTATATTTAGAAAGAATTTATATTTACATACAATCATACATATATGTTAAATAACCATATGATTTGCATCATTTCTGATTTGTATTCTTGGATGAATCGTAACAAGGGTTAGTTGCCTTTTCAACTATTTTTTAATTATTGTTTAAGTATTTAACTTTTTTTTTAGTAACCTATATTACCGATCAAATGTATTACTATGAACTTATTAATATTACCGATTATAATTTAAGAAATTCATTTATTTGATCGTTAAACATGGTATGACACATAACTAAACTATTACATAAAACTACTCAATGGCCAAAACATTTTGTTTTCCAAGAAAAAGGAAAAAAATTAAATAGGATTACTTTAGAGTGGTCTAGTGACACCTTGACCTTAGGTGGTTGATATCCACTACACCCAAAAGGTAAAAAGGAACATGATAGAAGAAGGCATTGCTTGGAAGGTATCTTTTGAAGGCTCAACAACCGCATTTTGCTTGTTTGAGTTGGCTATTCACACTATTATCTTCTAATACCTAATTTAACATTTTGCCTCATACATATTTTTTTTATCTTGTTTTTTTTTTTACCTGATAAATTTTCAGTTATTCTTGTATTTAGTTAAGGACCTTCCTAATGGCAGAACTCAATTAGGCTTTTCTGGCTTCGGATGCTTCTAATGACATGAGGACCCAACCAATTGTGGAACTCAATGAGGCTTTTCTAGCTTCTAACTTATTATATTACACTACTGACTTATTTTGAAGCAAAACTGAAACCCAACATCTTATAAAACCACCGTCGTTATGTGTATGACCAACTTCCCATCTTCTTCCTTTAAGGCTAGAATTCTATATTTTATTTATGGGAACTAATCTATACGCAACAAATTTTTTTTTTTTTGTAATACACAACATTTTATGTTTTGAAGGGTTATATAATATACAAATTATACAATTCTTTAAAGCATAAATTGTTAAGTATGATAAAAAAATTGTTATGAAACGCCCTTTATTTATAAAATACACTACACCCACTCTCCTTATATCTCATTTCTAATTTTCATTTTCCCCCTCATGTCATGTAAATACATTTGTTAAAATTTTATATTCATTATTCCATTAATATACAAACTAAGCCAATGTGATAAAACTAAAGCAAGGACTTCTTTAATGTCAAATTAACGAAACAATCTTTATTTTTTCTAACATAAGATTGCAAATTATCGTATAAAATTAGATAATCATGACTTTTTTATTCAAAAAAAATGTTCGGATTAAACTGTAAACTGACCAAAAATATTGAGACTTTATCAGAGATTTCCCTAAAATCTAATAATAATATATGATATTTGATTTACAGATGATCGTTTGGGTTTGTGAGTCTAATCGAGTTCACTGATTGATTGAGCTCGGGTTGAGCTCATTTATCTCGTTCTCGAATCTTTCTAATGAGTCCAGGTTGAGTAATTCGGTTTGCTTGCACTCCTATGTCTAGTGAACTAGTTTTTGAATGACTCATTGGTTTAGTACTTTTAAATGGAACTTGCTTAAAAGAATAGTTTACAGGTAATTGTGCAAAACTTCAAAGACGTAAAAGGTTGACGAGTTTTCACTTTGATGAACGATGTAAGAATATTTGATATTAACTGCTTTGTTTAAACTTTGATTTCATAACCTTTGATAAAATTGAACTTGTTTATACAATAATATTTTAAAATGTTGGATTTTGGCCCCCTAATACTATTGTTGGTGTTATGCCTTGGATCCGACCCATCCTTTTTATGAGCAGAGTCGGTGGTCCATAAGTTTCTCAGTCCCAGTGAAAATAATAATAATAATGTCCGGTACTAATATGGAATAACTACAACAAACCGATGTTTGTAGTTGTACCATATAAAATTTTATAGAAAAAACTTTGATTTTTCTTTGAAAAACACATTCATACAAAAAAAACATGTACCATTAAATGCAATTATAGTTGTATCACACATGCCTCTAAAGACAAACAAAACATCGTAAATTTGCTTAAAACGATGTCTTTATGTATTTCTTACAAAAACCCATATACAATTACCATCAAAAACTCGAAAAACTTGAAAACATCCCAACAACTAATTAGTGGTTAACGATATTAAGATAACTACATTGTATTTTTGTGTAAACTACACATTAACATCCTACCAAAAATCTCCACAATTACAACTTCCATCCTTAAAATGATGAAAACGAATCGTATCCCTAACCGTTATTTCTCTCTTCATTATCATACTCATATACTTCAAAGCCGTATGACAATCAACACACACCCGCAAATTCTTAGTCACAAAAATACTTTTTCCTAACCTCAAACTAACATCACCAAAAGCAACTGCCAACTTCTCACTATGATACAAAAGAATATGCCCTTTTTCCTCTTCTTCAACATCTTGAAGAACAAAACCATAATCTCCATCATACCCTAATTCCTTCATCCCCACTAGCAATTCATCTAACCTTCTATTGATTAAAACCCACCATGGATGTGACTTATCTCCACCAACAAACATATGAACATTTCCATCTATTTCAATCCAACTACACCCCGGGCTTTTCTTCAACCCTTTCTCTTTCTGTATGACACGTGTACGTGCTGCATCATCGAATCTTTTTGCTGTGCTATAAATATTAGATAAAATCACAAAGTTTCCACTACTTTCATGTCCAAGAATTTGAATCTTTCTTGAAATTTCTTCACCTAAATTGAAATCTTTATGGATTCTACAAGCACCAAGAAGTGCACTCCAGATTCTCACATCGGGTGTTAATGGCATTTCAAGAATGAACTCATGAGCCTCACTTAAAAGTCCTGCTCTCCCCAAAAGATCAACCATACATAAACAATGTTCGATTTTTGGTGATATTTGAAACTTTTCATTCATGGAATAATATAAATCTTTACCTTTTTCAATAAGTTTTGAATGACTACAAGCCGATAAAACACAAATAAAAGTAACCCCATCTGGATTAAAACCATCTCTTAACATATTTTCAAATAATTTAACTGCTTCAAACCCTAAACCATGTATACCATAACCAAAAATCATAGCATTCCATGAGATTACATCGCGTGTATTCATTTGATCAAAAACTAGTCTTCCTAGATTTATTTTCCCACATTTTGAATACATATCGATAATAGCATTACAAACTTTAGTTGATTTTGTAAACCCTTGTGTTATTGCATATCCATGTCCACATTCTCCATGTTGTAAAGCTGCTAAATGAGAACATGTAGGAAAGAATCCAATCATGGTTTCCATATCAGGGTTGATTCTTAATTTCTTCATATTTTCAAACATGTTAAATGCGATTCCAGCATCACCATTTTGGACACAACCAGAGATGATTGAATTGAAGGAAACCGTGTCTTTGAATTCCATTTCATTGAAGAATCTCATTGTGTCTTGTAAAATCCCACATTTTGAGTAGAGTGAAAGAAAGGTGTTACTGATTGTTAAATGAGAAATGAAACCTAATTTGATTGAATAACCATGTATACACCTTCCTGTTTTAATGTTGGTAAGATTAGCACAAGCACGAAGAATGGTGGATAGTGTAACTGGAGATATGTTGCCATTGTTGTTGACTATTGCTTTGTTGAAAAGCTTCAATGCCTCCATGGATGAATCTTTTGCAACACATGCTGTTATCATAGAACTCCAAGTTACCTCATTTTTTACATTGATTGTGTCAAAAACTCTTCTTGTGTAATCAAGGTGTTTACATTTGGCATACATGTCTAGTAAACCAGTTCCAACAACTACATTGTTATTGAATCTATTCCTTATAGAAAACCCATGTATTGCTTTTCCTTGCATCAACTCACTAGCTTCCCCAATAGCTGGAAGAATGGCGACAATGGTGGATGAATTAGGTCTTAATCCCGCATCCTGCATTTCCTCAATCAATTTCATTGTTTTGTGGTACATTCCATGAAGAGAACTTCCTGCAATCATTGCATTCCACGCCACCACATCTCTGTTAGACATTTTATCAAACACCTTCCGTGCGTCATCTAATAACCCGCATTTTGCGTAAAAATCAACCAACGCGGTGCAAACATAAACATCGTCGTCAAGAAACTCATTTTTCACGCGATCATGGATCATTTTACCAAGTTCTATATCCTGTATAGCGGAACATGCTTTCAAAGCAAATGGGTAAGTGTATTTATTGGGTGTGACCCCGGATTGTGTCATTTCAAGATACAGATTGATGGCATGGTCGAAGGGTCCTTCCCAAGCATACGCTCTCATCAATTGGTTCCATAACAAGACGTTATTTTTTCTTTCTGGGTAAGGAATTTTATCGAACACTCTGTGAGCAAGATGAAGTTGGTGAAACGAAATGTAGACGCGGGTGAGTTTGTCGAGTATAATGGAGCTGTAATTGAGATTTTGCTTGAGGAAATGCTGATGAATTGTCTTGGCATTCGCCAGTGACCTTGATTTAATTGAACTTTCGAAAATTTGTAGGTAGAAGGTTGTTTTAGTTATGGAAGTTCTGCCTACAGCCGCTGCCATTGAAAATAACAGGACCTGCAGTCACCAGAGTTTTATTGCGTGTCCGAGACCATTATTCTTAAAAAAAAAAAAAAAAAAAAAAAAAAAAAAAAAAAAAAAAAAAATCACTATGTACTACAATAATCGATTAAAGCAGGTCCAGTTGTTATGTTTTGATTTAGATAAAAATGTAAAATCGGTTCATGTGATTTATAAAAAATTTATATATAGCTATGTTTTCATTTAGATAAAAATGTAAAATGGTTATGTGATTTGTAAATATTTATAGATAGCTATGTTGATTTAGATAAAAATGTAAAATGGTTAATGTGATCTGTAAAAATCTGTATATAGCTATGTTTTGAATTAGATAAAACTATAAAAATGGTTGATGTGATTTGTAAAAATTTATAGAAATGAATTAAGAAACTTTAACTTTAATAAAAAACAATGTTTTAAATAACATAAGACATGACTTTGGCGGGAATGTCAAGTCTAAGTTTTTACGAGCTTTGACGAACCACGTCGTTAGTAAGACGTGACTTAAGACGACAATTTTGTATATAATTAATATTTTTATATGTATTTTCTACTATTATTTATTTTTTATACATATATGATTTAAGACGGTATTTTGTTAAAACTTGACGACAAATACAAGCATTGGAGCATTGACGAAGCCATTGCGAGTTTTTTAGAACCTTGATAAAAGTCTAAGGGGATGTTTGAGATAACTTTTTCAGCTCAAAAGTCTTTTTTTTATAAAAGAACTTTTTGTAAAAAGTCTTTTTCCAAAAGTTATGGTTTAAAATGTGTTTGGATGGTAAAAAGACAAAAGTTGATTTTAAGAAGTACAAAAGTCTCAAAAGTCACGTTTTTGTGACTTTTGAAATCAACATTTTTTCCTCTTGCTCAAAAGTTATTTAAAAAAAACTTTTTAACTTAGACAAACATCTTTTGCATTTTTTTGACTTTTTTGAAAAATGAAAAGTCAAAAAGTTGTTTTTAAAGCATTCTCAAACACCATCTAAAATAAAAAAAATTGGTCGTTAAAAATTTGAAATGACTATTTGATTTTTATTATTTCTTTTTCACATTTTTTCATTTTCTATTTATATATATATAGATATATATATATAGATATAGATATATATATATATATATATATATATATATATATATATATATATATATATATATATATATATGAGACAAATCAAGTGAATATGTTTCAAGATAGACTTAATGGAATGATTAATTATAATAATTGTCAATGCAAGAGCATTATCTTTCATATTAGGTTATTCACATTTCATTCTCTTCTATTTCCATTTTTCTTATATAGATTGTTCAAAAATAAAGAAGAAGGTTGTAGCCATTTGATGTTTAAAAAAGCTTTTAATGATGAAATATGGTGTGGAGTCGAATATCATTGTAGTGTTCAATTAAATCGGATGAGCATATTATAGAAGTTGGAAGTTGCAAAAAAAGTGTTGCAATTTGGTTCATAAATGCTACTAGAAGTTGATTGAAATGTTGTTACACTCGACAAAATTAAAATGATACATGGGTTATATTTTGTCCGTCACTTGCTTCTCTATAACCAAGATTCACTTTTACATTTTTGTTTCCTTCAATTGTTATTTTGCTTCAAAAGTGTTTTTTTTGCTTCACAAGTGGCTATTGTAATTTAATTTAAAATATTAATTTTCTATCTATCGCAAAAAAAAAAAAACACATTAAAAAATGTTTTTATATTGGTTCGTCTTTGTCATAGTGTTTTAGATTGCAAGAAAAATTATTGACATGTAGCAGTTGTAATTTTTATTGTCATAACTATGTCCATCACCTTATTCTCACCATATCCATAGGTTAAGCCAACATCTCTAAACTTCTAATTTTTTTTTTGGAATTCACAATATGAATTTTTGTTTATGTTAATTTTTAATCATTGTTATAAATGAAGAGAATAAAAAACGAATAAAAAAATATATAGTTAAATTATATATTTTATATTCCAATTCATTAGATGAACTTAAAACCAACGGGAAATCAACAAATTATTCGATTTCATTACATGTTAATCAAAAACATGTTAAATAATATTGTTCAAAATATTTCAATTTTATATATTATTATTTCATAAATAATGTTAATGTTATACTTATTTGCAAAACATATATTTGTCAAAAGAATAATTTTATAGTTTAAGACAAATCATTTATCTTTTACAATATTATTTTGGATTTTCAGTTTTTTTTTAATTATGTTCAATTAATATAAAACTTTTCAACTACTTTCATATTTACTATTAATTAATGAGTTGTTCAATAGGTTTTAATTAACTTAAAACTTTAATGACTTTTCTATTTTTAACTAATACTATAATTAATGAAAAATTAAATATATTTCTAATTTTTCTTCCTATCTATCTTCCTATCATTTTAGATGATGACAAATATAATAAAATTTTATTAATTTTATTAAAAAAAAAAATTAAATATCCTTCTATATTTTGTTCCAACTTATCTTCATACTCCTATAAAATAATGACATGTGTAATCCACAAATTATATTTCTTAATATCATTTCTTAATTTTGACATTTATCTTAATCTAGCGAGTAGGAAGATTTGTATCAACAAAAGGTAGTAAGAAAAATTAGGAGAATATTTGTTATATATATATATATATATATATATATATATATATATATATATATATATATTGTAACACTTGAATCCTGATATGTTCTTATTTTGCCCTAGTTATAAAAGCATTGCATTTTTGGTCCTTGAGCAGTACGCATGGCGTATCACTTGGTACACGGGGAGTACATGGGAGATGTTGAAACCCTAATTTAGGGTGTTGTACCCTATATAAAGGCCTTAGGTCCTCATGGCTGGCCTCCTTACCAACCTCAATTGCCACAAAAACCCTAAAATCGATCCTTAAGTCCCTTAGTGGTGTTTTTGAGCTAGTAAGAAGTTTTGGGTGCTCAGTTTTGGTCCATGTGAAGGAAGTGGAGATCTTGAAGTTTTCTTGCTTGGTGGAAAGGCTTTGGATCCAGAATCATATTCTTTTGTGCAAGATTTCTAACGTATCAAGTTTAAACCTTGACTTGTAGATGTTTAGATCTCTTCATATTGTGCTTTGTTCTGCTTTTGGCCCCTTTTGGGTTGATGAGAGAGTGAAATCGTTTTAAAAGCTTGATATTGTAGATCTGAGTTTGTATTGGACTCCTTGAGCATAAAGGTGCAAGCGTTATGAGATAAATGGTTACATGCATGCATTAAGTCACTCATTAAGTCCCTTTTAAGCTTAAGAGCTTCATTTAGATATGCATGAACGTAAAGTTGGCAACTTTACGTGGTTTTTCAGCTCAAGAAAGTCAGAGCTATGTTTTGGGGTTATGTTTTAAACGATTAAGGTCTGAAATGAAGTTTTGGCTGAATGAGTGAGTACGTTGGGCGAATAAGCAGGTATGCTTAGCGTACAAGCCCTCAAGCTAGTACGCTGTGCGTACGTGCGGAGTACGCCTCGCGTACTCAGTCAGGTGGGCTTCGCTTAGTTGGGCTTCGGAATTGGGATTTTCTTTGGACTTAATGGCTTGCGGCCTTGTTGGGCCACCTGAATGAAAGAGATTGGATTAGGAAAATTTAGTGGACCTTAAGGTAGGGTCCATGGAAGGATTTGGTCCAATTTGGAAAATTTGGCCATATGTGGTCCTTGGATGGATATTTGATCTTTGGGCCTTTAGATTGAAAGTTTGGGTTTAAGTCTTGGACCAAAAATAGTTAGGGGTAAAATGGTCTTTTTACCCTAAGTGTAGGTTGAGGGATATAGTTTTGACTCCAATGGTTAATTGGGTGTTTTTGGTTATTGATAGCTTGGGGATTTGTCGGACTAGCAGCCAGGGATTTCAATGTGACTCAGCAGTGCGATGTGAGTTTCCTCACCATGTTTAGCGGGTCGAAGGCACCAACGCTGACCTATGATATGTTCTGTTAGATTACTCGTTGTCTATTTGACACTAGTATGTGTATGTGTTAGTATGTTACTGGGAGGGGCCCGATGATTATCCTGTATGCTATTATTTGTTATTATATGTGAATTGTATATTGGCGGGGTCCGTTATGCGAGTTAGGGTGGGGCTCATTATACTCATTGGGCGGGGCCTGTTATGCAAGTTAGGACGGGGCCCGTTATATTCTTTGGGTGGGGCCTGAAATGTGTTTTATGTTTGGTATGTGGTATCTTGGGGAACTCACTAAGATTTGTGCTTATAATTTTCAGTTTATGTTTCAGGTACTTCCGGTTCCAAGGGAAGAGCTCGGGATGACTGCATTGCACACACCACATGGTTTCCGCTTTTGGGACATTACTCTGATTGATATGATGTTTGATACACTTATTTTCATTTAGGTTGTATGGACAATGTTTTGGAATGCTGTTTTATTTAAATTAAAAATGAAAATTTTAGATTATATTTTTGGGACGTTACAAGTTGGTATCAGAGCCTTGGTTTGAGGGATTTGGGCACACTCTCGGGTGTGTCTGAACTCAAACCGAGGATTTGGTAAAGTATTTCAAAAATAAATATATTTTTTAAGAAAAAGGTTTTTCTAAAATAAGAAAGGGTGTGGTGCATGCAATTAGCTGAGCTTAAATAAGTTTTCCCATAATACCCCTACATGTTATCTGATATGCTTTGATCTGTGGATCTGTGAATCGCATGCCAGTTAGGGCTAAGTATCTGCTCAGTTTTTGCATAATAGAATGCTAGGAGAGATGCCTTTGTATGCCTATTGTGTGAGCTTGTAGACTTGCATGCTAGTACTGATAAAATAATGATACGATGGCCTATTTAGGTGATGCTTGGTTCTGATTACTTGATGCCCGAATGCTGCTTTCTTTGTGCTTCTAGGATTTCTAACTAGTTTCAGCTAACTAGTAAGCGAATATGATAGGTTAAATATTATGGGAACTAAATAATTTTAGGAGGTTAGGTTTTAACTCAAT